AGCTCCAACCCCTGCCACAGGCAGGGACCCCTTCCACTGGAGCAGCTTGCTCCAAGCCCCTGTGTCCAACCTGGCCTTGAGCACTGCCAGGGATGGGGCAGCCACAGCTTCTCTGGGCACCCTGTGCCAGCGCCTCAGCACCCTCCCAGGGAAGAGCTTCTGCCTAAGAGCTCAGCTCAGTCTCCCCTCTGGCAGGTTCAAGGCATTCCCCTTGGCCTGTCCTTACAGGCCCTTGTCCCAAGCCCCTCTCCAGGTTTTCTGCAGCCCCTTTAGGCACTGGAGCTGCTCTAAGGTCTCCCCTTCAGGAGCCTTCTCTTCTCCAGGCTGCCTCAGCCCAGCTCTCTCAGCCTGGCTCCAGAGCAGAGCTGCTCCAGCCCTCGCAGCATCTCCATGGCCTCCTCTGGCCTCTCTCCAGCAGCTCCACGTCCCTCTTGTGCTGCTGCCCCAGAGCTGGATCAGGGCTGCAGGGGGGGTCTCCCCAGAGCACAGCAGAGGGGCAGGATCCCCTCCCTGAGCTGCTGCTCACACTCTGGGGGTGCAGCCCCGCACACAGGGGGTTCTGGGCTCAAGTGCACACTGCAGCCAGGTCATGGGGAGCTTCTCATGGACCAACAGCCCCAAGTTCTTCTTGTCAGGGCTACTTTCAGTCCATTGTCCCCCTGCCTGTGTTTGCGCCTGGAATTGCCCCAGTCCACATGCACATCCTTGCCCTTGGCCTTGCTGAGCTTCATTAGGTTCCCACAGAATGCTGAGGTCCTTGCCTGTGTCTGTGCCCTGTGTCTGACATCCTCTGCTCTTGACCCATCAAAAATGGGCTTCTGCTTTCACTGTGTGCTGCTGCTACTGCCTGTTGCTCTGCCTGTATAGCAGTGAAAGGGAAGAGGTGGGATTTTGCCTTCACCTGTAGGGGAGGTGATCATAAGTCCTTAGACTTAAAGCTCAGTTGCGTTTCCTCAGGTGTGCTTCTATGGCAGTAGCAAAACCCCTTCCTGCAGCCTGTAGCAGGAGCTGTGCTGAGCCTGGAGGTACCATTGGAGTGTATCCCCAGGTTTTCTCATCCTTTGTCAGTGCAGACCAGAGGATGACTCCTGAGTTTTTTGGTGGTGTGGTGTTTCCAGGGCCTGAGAAGCTGGCTTTTATCACTGCTTGCTTGCTTTGTCATGGAAAGACTGTCATTTGCCTTGGGTTTGCTGCAGGACTTTCTGCTAAATCCCCAGGACTGGAGATGTTTGCTCTGTGCAAAGGTAACTTTGCTTTTGCCACTCAAACCCTCAATAATAGATATGAAAGGTTTCTTAAGCAAGTAAGTAAATCTCCCAGGGGGTGAATTCTGTTTCCCACAAGAAATACCTGAAGCCAGTCACTTGCCAAACTGAACAAGTCAGGTGGTGCAGCTCAGAGAAAAACAACTGATTATTTTCCTTACAGGCTTTCCATGGGGACCGGGGAGGGGAATTGTCATCCCTGTGAGGAAAAATGAGTATTGGAAAGTGTTGCTGCCTTGCCAGAAAGGCAGTTTTCCTTGTTCTTACGTTCAGATGGTTTCCTCAGACACTGCTGTAAGAGGCACTAGAGGCAAACCCTTGATACTCAGATGGACCTTTCCTGTATCGGAAGGCTGTCTTGGGCAGGATGTTTCTTTTGTACTTAAGTCAATCACTGCAATTTTAATACTATGATGGCAGGGGGTTGGAACCAGATGTGACGCTCCTTAAGGTCCCTTCCAGCAGAAACCATTGTATGATATGATTCTGTGTGCTCCATAATGCAGGTTTGGTTCTTCTGGGAGAATTAACCTGGCATGAGACTGTAGATCAGACAGGCCAGGATGTGTCCACTTCTAAATCCTGCATAGCATTTTGCTCAGAGTAGCTCACAAATCTGTGCTCAGATGGTGCCTTTCTTTCCCAGTTGAATGGCTGGGCCTAGTTCTGGGTTAAATGGTAGCCGGTGGGAGGAGAAGCTCTTAGTTTAATACTTAATAGTAAAAAGATGAAGATCTTATCTCCTTCCTTCCTTATGTGTGGGCCCGATGCAAACCTCATGAGGTTGGGCAAGGGCAAGGTCCTGCACCTGTGTCAGCTCAATCCCAAGCACAAACACAGGCTGGGCAGAATGGATGGAGCAGCCCTGGGCAGAAGCACTTGGGGGTGTTGGGTGACAAGAAGCTCCCCATGATTGAGCTTCAGTGTGCACTTGAGCCCAGATCCCCCCCTATTTCCTGGGCTGCACCCCTGGACCCTTGTCACTCCAGGCGATGTTTTGTTCCCTCTGGTTTGTGCTCTGTGGAGAGATGAGGTTATTGTGCAGCCATGAAACACTTGGGCTTCAACCCTGGGGGTCACACTCAATCTCACATGAGATTCAAACAGCTTGTTTCTTAAAATGCTCTAGAGAATGTTACTAAATCACAGACTCACACACCGGTTTGGGTTGGAAGGGACGTTAAAGCTCATCTAGTTCCACCCCACCTTCCTTCCACTAGCCCAGGTTGCTCAGAGCTGGTTGCTGTCTTAGTAGAACAAGTCCACCTGGTTTCTGGTGTGGTGTTTTATTTATTTATTTAAGTGTGTTTTCTGTCTTAAATGTAAAACTGAAAGGTCAGAGTCTGATGGGAAGAGGGGTAAAAAGCAGAATTACAGGAATGCAGGAATTAATGTGTAGACACTTGTGTCAGTTTTAAGCTGAACAGGTCTGTGGCTGAACTATGCCACAGCGTTGAAACTGTGATGCTTGGATCTAAATGGTTGTAATTCCTTGTCTTTAAACAGAGAGGACTTGAGCTGGAGGAAGGAGATGTTGGAATGAGCTTGACTCAAGAGAACCCTGGGAGGAAGGAGGAGGGTGGGAAGCGAGAGATGATAACCCCAGCTCTGAGAGAAGCGCTCACAAAACAAGGTGAGGTTCTGCAAAGAGCAGATGGTGGCCCAGGATTTGAAGTCTGTGTGGTGGCCTTTTAGCAAGCCAAGTGACAGATGGTGTTCTTTGTTAGAGGTGCTGCTGTGGCCCCTCAGTCATGGCAGGCTCTGAGCAGGGGCAGGAGAGGGCTGAGGCAGGGGCTGTTGGTCCCTGATCATTTCAGGGAGGAACCTGAAGCTGGGTAATACATCTGAGTGTGATGCACTCTGAGTGTGGTGAGTGTATCAGAGTTCAAAGGGTTTAATGTAGCTGCTAAGCAGCTTGGGAGAGAAGATGATAGTCCACATGCCTTCAGCTCCGAGAGTGTGTGTTCCTCAAAGACTACTTAAAGATCAGCTCTAACCCTGCTTTTACTTCTGTTTCAAACTCTGATTTTGTTACTGAAACTTCATTTCCAGAGAAGAAGGTAGTTCGAATGAGCTTTACCAATCCACTGATGATCAGATCAGTGGCCTTCCAACAAGCTGTAGTGAACTTAATCAATTAATTAAGCCTTTTCAAAACAAAGGAGGACAAGCTTGAGAAGAGCTGGACCGAGGGCCCTGCAGTTCAGAAGCCTCAGTTCTGAGTGGCAGATCCAGGAGAAGGGTGATGGGAGCTTCTGTTCAGTTGGAGGCTGAAGGCAGTTTAGTTTAATTTCTTTTATTTCTTAGGATGAGAATGCATTCAATTTTTCTTGCTTGCTAAATCAGTAGAATGTCTCCTGATGCTGCTGAGAACACAGTTCTGCTACTGCACTGGAGGCACCTTGCTTCAGAGCTGGGCTCTGATTTTCTGTGTCCTGTGTGAGACCAGCAGCTGTGGGATCCCAACACCTTTGACCCCCAGGACTGGAGCTTGAGCTTTTATAGGTGACTGGTGATGTGTTTGCCCATGGTCATTGGAGTGGGCTGCTGGAGATGGGGCTGTCTAGAACTGGGCATCGGGGAGGGAAGTGTTCTTGTCTGCAGCAAGTCCCCTGCTTCAGAGGCTGGAGGGGCTGCTGCCTCTATGGAAGGGTGCACCAAGTCCCTCAGGCAGCTCAGGTGCTGCTTTGCCCCACAGGGACCTGAGATGGGCTGGGGACACTGCCCTGGCTGTTCTGTGGTGCAGGGTCTGTGCTGGCTCTGCGCTGTGCCGTGGCAGTCACAGGGGTGTTTCACACTGGTTCACTTTCTGACCGCGTCTGTATTGGTTTGGTTTAGGGCAGTGAATGAAACTGTGCTTTTCTTATGGTCTGTAGAAGTGGCCACTTGGAGAATGAAAGCGATGCTGGAGGGAAGGTCACCTTCCTGCTGTAATTTTGTTTTTACTGCAGTCCTGTCTCATATCTTCTGTGCTGCTTTGAGTTCATGGCAGCAAAGTCCTTCCACAAATCACAAGACTTTTGTGCTTTTCAAAAACACTTTCTTGAAGACTGAGCAGAGCTAGGAGTGAAGCTGGGTGTTTCTCCATCATGCTCGGGCAATCTGAAAACTTCCACTGCCCAGGTTCCACTTCCTTCTATATTTGTATAAAATAGTGATATAGTTGGAAGAGGTTCCTTTCAACAGCAGTATTTCTTGTTTTCTTTTCCTTACTAATTTTCTGGCTTTATCAGAACATTGTCTTTTGGGTGGTGGTTCTGTTGCAGCAGTTGTGTTACCACTTCAAAAAAGCACCTTAAATCAGTGGTGATGGGTTACTGCTGTGTGTCAGTGACTTCAGCTCAGGCCCTTTTAAACTGCACTCTGGCAGAAAACTGATCTTTTTGCCTGTAAAGAGTCTCCTAGTGTGAAGTTCCCCTTTCTGCACTGAGTTTCAGCTTCAATAAATAATCAGTGCTTCAAAGAAGGCAGCTTTTATTTAAGGAGATGGCTTGATAGAACCACACTGATTTGCCAGTTCTGTGTTACTTGCAAGAAAAGCCTTCCGAAAGTGATTTGAGTTTGTGAAGACATCGTGACACCAGACTGGCTTTCACCAAGCTAATGGTGCCTGCACTCTTAGAGGAGGATGGGTAAGTCTCTTTTCTGGTACTTTTTGAGGATTTTCTCAACCCCTGCTCTCCTTCATCCTTTCATAATTAAATCTTTTGCTCTGTGCTGTCAAAGGCTTGCCTGTAAAGCAGCTTTTGGTGGTGTAGAGATCTGAACTGGAAAGTGTCTCTGGGTTTCTTTCTGGACATTTTGCCACAATCAAATAGTCAGCAGTCCTCAAAAGCAGTTCACAAGTTGTACTTGTAGAAATTTGACTTATCTGTTCTGCTTGAAAAACTAAAATAGCATAATAGCTCGTGTATGCACAAAATTCATAAGTATTCAGAAGCTTAGAAGGACATGCTATGGGTATGGCACTGGTAAGCGATCAAAACCAGAATACCTTGGATATCCTGGAACATGACATGGGTATGTAGTTGGCAGTGTCCTGCCTCTGTGGCTGAGGGTACCGCAGGGTCCCTCAATGAATTCTTTGACTGGTTTTTAGGGACTTTGAGCAGAGTTGAAATGCTGCAGTGCAGTTTCAATGGTCACAGGAATGTTTTGCCCCAGACAAGGGAGCAGTCAGCATCTGTGGTGCTGGCCATCTCTTCAGCTCAAAATCTGCCCATGGCCTATTAAAGTCCAGTTGGATTGTCAGGGCCAGCAATCAGCAAATATTTATCAGCTTAGTGTTGCTGCATGATAACACTCCCTTCACCCAAAATCTTAATTCATGTCTTCCTGTAGTAAATAAAATGACAAGTTTGAAGCTTGGCAGGCTTCTAGCTCATTCAGAGTTTATCATCTAGAGCAGGATCAACTAATATACAGACTTAGAGAAGACTTTAGTCAGGAGTTGAGATGTTTACTATAAGCCTGCTTACAATTTAAGGATTCCTTTGAATATTAGGCTTTAGAAATTGTAAGTGGATTGTGTTTGTTCAGCCTTAATATCTGGAGATGCATCAGGATGGTGAGCAGAGTCCCATGAAGACAACAGTCTGTATTGTTTGGAAGGTGTTGTATCCAAATATTCAGTTAGAGTGATTGCTTATGAGTAATATGCCTTAAGAGCAGAGAAGTGAACGTGTTCATGGGGAGTCCTGTCGGGTTCAGAGTTCTGGGCCATTGGTAAGGTTTGATTTTTCCATCATTGCCCTTGGCAGAGCCCCAGGGAAGTTGTGGCAAAGGTGGTGGAAGAGATGAGCTGGCCTGAGCTTTCACCAGGGTTGTTCATCAGAAGCTGCAGTGGGGAAACAGAACTGAGAAGCCCCTCAGACTGATTCTTGGACACATGTCCTCACATGTTTGGTTTGGAGCTTAGCACTGCTTGGTCTTGCTTAAACCTTTGTACTTTGTTTTAGCCCAGACTGCCCTGGCTGCCTGTGTTACTTGCCAGCCATAAAGCAGGTGCTTGAAGAAAGAGGCTCTGCAGAGCAAGAAAGACTCTGCTCACTAGGAGCAGATGTGTAACAAATGTTCTGATTGATTTAGTTTATCTAACTTCCAAGTCTGAAAAAGCATGGGGTGGCCAGTGCTCACTGTGGAGGCTTAGCAGGGTCACCACCGTTTCTGTCAGTCACCTACATGGTGAAGGCCCAAGTTCAAGAGCTTCATGCAGTGGTTTTGAAGTTCTGCAAGTATGTGCTGTTTCTTCTTGTAACCATAGCTGAGACTCCTGGCAGCAGCAAACACAATGAGTAAACCCCTTCTCATCACTAAAGCTGGCTGAAATTTGTAAGACTCTGTTTTGATGTTGAATGGGTACAATTTTCTTGGCCTTAGGAGAAAGCTGTGGACTCCCCACATGATGGAAGTTGATTTAAGTAACTAAAGAGCTTGGCACCTTGCTCAGTTTAGCTGCTTCCTCTCTTCCCTCATACAACTGGGTAGCAGATCTGGGTGAGCATGTCCCATTTCCAATTTAATTTTAACCTAAACCCCATTTTAAAGCATCCATCTGACTTCTACTGACAAGAGATCTGTGAGAGAATGATCTTACATGAACACTGTTGCTGATTCTGAAAAGGGAACGTATAAGGCCGAGGCTGTGCTGGGTGCCATCAGCAAGAAGCCTGCCTTGGGCAGCTACAGTAGAGGGAGCAGGAATGCAGCATCCTTTTCACTTTTGGCAAAGGTTTCTGGTCAAGAGGACGCAAACTTTAGGTGCACATGGTGGTCTCAGCTGAGATTAGACCTTGCTGGACAAGCCTGTTTGCAAAGACATGCTGAAGGAGTAAGTAGGACAGACTGCAGGTGGGAGAGATGATGTAATGCAGCCAAATGCAGTTGTATGTTTGGCCATCCCTCCAAGTTGGTCAGAAGTTGCCACAGGGTCTTCTGGGTCTCATCCAGTCATAGGTAAAGGTGTCCCCAGTATTACATTTGGCTTTTGAGACGATAAGTTCCATGTTAGAAGTGCTGATGTCTTTCTCCAGGAGAGGTCTGGGTGATGTGCCATATAGAATACCAAGGCTTTTTTGGCTTGCAGTAGTTCTTTCTTCTATTCTGTATAGGGGTTTATTCATTTAGGGAGGAAAAGGGTGGAATATTGTCCATTCCCTCAGAGCTGGATGGGGAGAGGGATCTCAGGACATAGGAGCAGCCTGACACTGATGTCCCCAAAGCCCTGCTTAATGTGGCAGTTGGCCCCTTTGCCATGTAACAGGGGGTCTGCACTGCCTGCTTCTGCAGCCACTCCCCCTGTGCTGTCCATAGAGTCTCTTGGAGAGTCGCTTCAGGGGACTGGTCAGGCTAAAACTGCCTGTGTCCTAACCCCCAGCAAGGATAGAACCGGTGTGAGGAGGCAGGAGTGTCCTCAGCCACGTGGGCATCTTCGTCTCCACACAGTTTAATTTTGAGCTGGTGCAGCTCTCACTGTAGTTTGTGGCTCAGTGTCCTCGGAGCTGTGGGGGACTTTGGGGCACAGGCACACTCCCCTGGGACCTCACCACGCGAGAGGCACATGGTGACATATGAGCAGGCTCAGTGTGCTACTTGCTGTGGGAGATGAAGGGCAGTTCTGCTGAGCAGAAGGCTTTTTTCCCCTGTTAATTTAATGCTGGTTGGCAGGAAGGAGGCTTGATACCTTAAAGCTGATTTTTCTCTTGGAAGCGTTAATATAAATGTCCGGCTAAAGCAGTCAGTTGAGATGTGCTGGTGTGGGGACAGCCAGGCCATCGATGTGTAAGTGCTGCCGTGTGAATGACACGAGTCAGGCTTCTCAAATCCCTCTTGTTTTTATGTTGGGTTTTGAAGTGACTTTTAATCCTTCAGACATATTGGTCCCTAGGCACATTTTTCAAAGAAAAAAAAAAAAAAAACAACGATTTGAGCAGTTTGGGTAATAATAGTGCTTAGTGCTTAACAAATGCTGTGGAATTAATCTTCCTGGGCCAATAAATTGAAATGAAATTGTATTGATCTTGATTGAGGAGCAAGGAAGAGATGTGAAATGAGCTTTCCTCTGGGCATAACGCAGCGGCTCCCCCTCTGCAGCTCCTTCATGGCCAGTGAAGGTGGAACTGGTGAATCTGTGAAGTTTGGGTTCAGGCTGAGCCCTGCATTGTGGTTCATTGCCTCTGCCCTCCCTGCTGAATCAGATGTCTTCCAGGCTGGTCAGACCTACCAAGAAGCAGTGGGAGTTAGGTCTCTGTGGTTCTGGGGAAAAGTCTTTTCTGGGATGATGGCTTAGGGATGGGAGGAGATGCTTCTGGTTCCCTGTCCTGCTCCTTCCCACATCCTATCCCTCTGGGGTCGGAGGTGTTCCACATCGCTGGGCTAGACCTGTTAGTCTGCCTTCCTGTCACATGGAGAAGTCTTCTGGCCACCCTCTGTTGATTCAAGCAAGACAGAGCAATATAAATAAATACCCAGTGAGGAGAAAGTGCTCCTTTGGGCAGCCATGGCCTTTGCTCCCATGTGCTCCCAGAAGGAAATGGAGAATACTGTGAGTGTGTATCATCACCTTGGGCCAATGGGAAAGAGCAGTGCTGAGACTGTGATGCTGAATAATTTGGTGTACCAATTGGCATGTTTTGTGTTGTGAGTTATTGCAGGTTCAAATCAATAGTTTGATTATTGTTTTGTTGGTTTCCAGGTTACAAGCTGATTGGGAGCCATTCTGGGGTGAAGCTCTGCCGATGGACAAAGGTAAATGCTCTCTTTCCTTCTCTCGTTTTCTAAATTGAAATTAGAAAAGTAGACACTTACTCAGGTAGTGCAATTTCCAAATGAAATATTGTTTAAAAAAGCAGTATTACATTAATGAAGCCAAGTTTCATCTTCCAAGCTGTAGTTTTACATTCCAAGCTATTAAAATCCTGCTGCAAAGAGTGAGCATGTGACCGTGACCAAGAGCTGGGGATATAATTTTCTGTTGTTTTTCCTGTTATTCTGCTGTCTGCTAAAGTAACTCCTGCCTCGGGAGGTACACAGCAGGAGCAGAACACCACACAGAGAAGTGGGAAGGTTTCATCACCACTGTGAGGTCCCTGAAACAAAGATGCTGCAGTCTGTCATTCCACTGGAATGGGCACACTAGGGTGTTTGAACCTGTTGTTGTGGAACTGACCACAGTCTAGTGGGGATGGGATGGAGTAGCCCTGAGGAGAAGGACTTGGGGATTTGGGTGACAAGAAGCTCCCCATGACCTGGCTTCAGTGTGCGTTTGAGCCCAGAACCCCACTGTGTGCTGGGCTGCAACCCCAGGGCATGAGGAGCTAAAGCAGGAATGGAATGTAAAGTGCTCTAGACACTGACATTGGTTACAGGCAGTGGCTTTGACTCAGATTCACACCAGTATGTGAGTGTCTTCAGGAGGTTTGTTTGAGGTTTGTATCGGGTGAAAGCAGGAGCAGGGCAGGAAGGATTAGTTTTGAGTTTCATAGTGGTAGCTCAGATTAAAAAGACTGTGTTCTGTCGTATGCTGGGAAACAGCCTCAAAGCTGCAAATTTTAGGAAGAGTGTTGATTTGCCTGTTTTACAAAATCCAGAATATCATAGAATCATAGAGTGGTTTGGATTGGAAGGGACCTTAAGGCTCATCCAGATGCAACCCACTGCTGTGGGCAGGGACACCTTCCACTAGAGCAGCTTGCTCCAAGCCCTGTCCAACCTGACCTTGGTCTCCTAGAATTTGTGAATCTCCTGAAGTCTCTGTTGTTTGAGGAACGGGTGGAATAACCAGCATTTCCCATTTTGTTTAGTTTTCCAACTGCATAGCAAGGCTGTGCATATGTTGGGGGTCACCTGCGTGTTCTTTCCCCACTGCTCAGTGAAGACTTTCCTTTGGATCGCCAGGACTCCTCAGGTGGAGGAAGGTAGATTGAAAGGTACCATTGTCACAGTGTGGCAAGGGGTTGGAACTGGATGAGCTTTAAGGTCCCTTTCAACCCAAAGCAGCCTGTGATTCCATGATCTGTGTGCTATGCACTTCTTCCCCCAGGGTGCATCTGTCTTCATTCTGAGCTGCTCTGCGATGTGCTCTTGCTTGCAATGTGTGTCCCAGGTGACTTGGACACCCAGGTTTTTAGTGACTGAAAACTGCAAATGTGCCTGGGGAGCAGATTTAAAGCTCTGCCCTCAGCCTGATGTTCTTGGGATTTGTTTGTGTCTTTCTCTGCTGTTAGTCGATGCTCCGAGGCCGAGGAGGCTGCTCCAAGCACACATTTGATGGAATTGAGAGCCACCGCTGCATGGAGGCCACCCCGAGCCTGGCCTGCGCCAACAAATGTGTCTTTTGCTGGAGGTAAACTCTGCTGCAGTTTTACTGTGGGACAGGGGCTCTGTTCCACTCTGTCCCTGTGCTGTTCCTGAAGCCTAGGGCAGTGTTACTTGTGTGCGCCTTGAATTTGGAAGTTGGTGGAGGATGGGTTTGAAAGGGAGCAGGTCGCTCCCCCTTCCTGCCTGTACTCCTCCTCTTCCAAGAGCTGCTGGAGCCCATGGGTGTGGGGTGGTCGGATTTGAGCTGGGTGGGTGGGCTCCACATCTGGGAGGCTGAGGAGGTGCCACCTTCCCTAGAGCTGTGTTCTCTGTCAGACTGGCTGGGAACCAGTGGAAGGAGGAATTGGGGAGGCAGGAGACACACACCTCTCCATGTACTGCTCTGCAATTCCCACTCGGTAGAGGTTCGGTTCCCTCTGGAGATCACTGTCTGAGATTCCGTGTGGCTCCTGATGCTCTAGAGAACATGAGCTGGCCCATCTAGTGCAAAGCCACCAAGGTGCAAAGCAACATGAGTATCTTTGGTTTGAAATTGGACTGTTTTTCTTACTTCAGGTACCTTCATCCCCACCAATTCAGTTGCTGATGACTTGGTAACTGTTGCCTTCCTAAAGCAGTATCTAATAGATGACTTTCCATTCTAGTCGGTAAAGTGACCCCTCTTCTTAGGGGAATGACTTTGTTAGTTCTCTAAAGGCAGTGAGCTCTGCCTGGATGGGAGCGGTGAGCAGCTCCAGCCGTGCTTACTCACTGGGCTGCCAAGGGAGGGTTTTGCCAGGCTGGGAGGGCGCAGGATGGGGTTGGTGAGAGACGCTCAGCAAAAACCAAAGCAGTGACGTGGAAGCGCGCTGAGTGCGAGGACGTGGAGGTTATTCTTTGAGCTCTTTTGTCTTGCCAGCTAACTCACACGATGGGGCTTGTGCTTCCTCTGGTATTCCCGCCTTCCCCAGGGACCTGGTTGCCAGAAATACCCATTCCATCCCAAAGGCTGAGTGTGCATGCAAACCCAGCCAAATTCCTCCTGAATCCCACTTTTTCTGTTTCATAGTCTTCAAGTTTTAACAATGGAAATACTTCCTGAGGATATTGAAATGGCAGCATTAGCGCAGAAGGACTGCTAGAATTTTGGAGACAATTTTGGAGAAGCTGTGTCCCATGTTAGTGTTGGGTGTAAGCATTAGACACTGGTCATCCTGTGAAGTTTGCTTTCTGAAATGTTAATTGGGGCTCTTGATGGGCTTTCATCATATCCTGGCTTGAACGAACGCAGCAAATAGCAAGTTTAATGTGCAAGTTTTGCTGCTTTTCTTTAGAGCAATTTAATGGCTGGGAAGGAAACTGTACTGCTTGTGTCTTTTGTCTTCCTTTTTTTTCATGTATCAGCTAGCAGTGGTGCATTTAATTCTGCAGGGGTGACTGGACTGGTAGGGAGAGGATTGCCGTGCATTTTGTCCCTCTGGCCCTACACAGCAGGTACATCATAAACAGCAAATAGAAAGCAATAGCGTTGTCAGAGCGAGGAATTTTGCTCCTGGTACTGCACTGCAGATCATTTTACACTGTTCCCCTCAAACTGACCCACTTGATATTACTTGGCAGCACAGCAGCAGCAGCAGCCTGTGTCTGGAGTATGGGGCAGAACCAGGAAGTCAAACAAGTGTCAACTGAACAGTGCAGTAGCTGGGATAAATCTCCATGCGTGATACATTCCAGGTGCCTCTGCCTCATCATCCCCTAACTGTCGTTTGTCACTTTTCAGAGGAAATGTGGAAACAGTAGCCCTAGTGATAATGAAAGCTGGAATGCTTATTTGACTAATGGCAACAACCTGAATGAATGAAACATCTTAGCAGGGGACGGAGCTGAAAAATACTCTCATTTATTTATCTCCTGTGAAACGGGTTGCAATTGTTTTTCTTCCATATGGACTGCAGCTGTCTGTCTGCTCTTCTCAGACCTCTGCTGAGTCGGAAGACTTAAGGCTCAGTTTGAGACACATCCCAGGGCTCACTTTATGTACACCTTAGGCTTGACATAAATCATAAACCCATAGATAGTTTGTCTTGGAAGGAACCTTAAAGCTCATCCAGTTCCAACGCCCTGCCGCAGGCAGAGACCCCTTCCACTGGAGCAGCTTGCTCCAAGCCCCTGTGTCCAGCCTGGCCTTGAGCACTGCCAGGGATGGGGCAGCCACAGCTTCTCTGGGCACCCAGGCCAGCGCCTCAGCACCCTCACAGGGAAGAGCTGCTTAACATCTCAGCTCAATGACTTAGGACCTTTCCTTTCTAGTGATATGTGTAGCTGTGGTCTCAAATGGAGGTAGAACCTCTTCTTCTTTCTTTGCAGAGGTCTTTCTTGCTGTAGAGCATCATTTTGGCTTAAAGACCTTTTACCTGTGATTCAAGATAGGTCTGTCAAGTTTCATATAAACTGCGAGGTCCATTCTTCCTTCTGGGGGAACCAGAGCCTAGGAGTATAGCAATATGAGAGTGGTGTTCAGAGATGACATATGAAAGCTGTGTCAGAAGCAGGATATAACTGAGAATTTCTTGTTGCCTTTAGTATTATGAAACTATGTCAAAGTCCCTAAGGTGTCAGATGGGTCCTTCCCATGTGTGTTACAAATGACAGTGAATAACTCTGTCTCTCTTTTCCTTCAGACATCATACAAATCCAGTGGGCACAGAGTGGCAATGGAAGATGGACCAACCTGAACTGATATTGCAGGAGGCTATTGAGAACCATCAGAATATGATCAAGCAGTTCAAAGGTAACTTTTCCCACTTCTTCCCCGTGAGTGATGCTTTTGGAAGATAAGCAGCATCAGCATCTGCAAAGCAAATCCCTGGAGGTATTTAAAAAGGGACGTGGTTTAGCGGTGCACTTGGCACTGTGGAACTGACAGTCGGGATTGGTGATCTTTTCTAACCTAAATGATTCTATAGTTGTATGAAATGCTGGGAAGGAGGCATGAGATTTTTAATACGAGAAAGAGAGGTGAGAAGAAACTGTTGTGGCCCACCTTGTTTTCTGGGATGTTCTGCCTTGGTTTTGACATCAGAACATGAGTCAGCCGTTGGGTGTCTACTGCTGCCTTAAGGGATTAGTGTGGAGTTACTTCTTGTGCATCTTGGTAATTGTCATATCCTTTTATTTGGAGTGCACAGAGGCTTCCACAGTGCTTGAGGCTAGCCTGGGTGGTGAGGAATGTGGATTCTTATGGAAAAGTGGGGGCAGGCAGAAGGCAAAAGGAATCCCCCTGTAACCTGATAGGAAATACACTGCTGAAGCTTAATCCACTGGGAGCTTTGTGTTAGCTCTGAAACTTAGGGATTGTGTTTTCCTCATGAATGGATGAGCACTTATATTTTCCGGAATTATTGAGGAGATCTGTTTGTGACTGAAGCTGCACTTACACAGCACCAAATACCGCACTTTGCTTCCCATAGGAACGCTTTGTGAGTTTGTTATTTCTTCTAGATTGAGATTAGCCATTAGGCACAAATTCTTCCCTGTGAGGGTGCTGAGGCGCTGGCACAGGGTGCCCAGAGAAGCTGTGGCTGCCCCATCCCTGGCAGCGTTCAAGGCCAGGTTGGACACAGGGGCTTGGAGCAAGCTGCTCCAGTGGAAGATGTCTCTGCCTGTGGTAAGAGGTTGGAACTGAATGAGCTTTAACCAAATCAGTCTGGGATTCCAAGATTAATTCCATGCCGTGCAGTAAAAATGAGATCTTCTTTGAAGGAGCAGAAGAATTCTTGGGGACCATGCTTCCTATAGGATATCATAGAGAATAGCTTTCTGCCTTGTAAGAACCTCTGTGTATGCTTTTAGAGTTGTCGTCTTCTCTTTTATTGTTGCCAAAGTGTGCACTGTTTTTGAAGGTGGTGGTTAACATCACATCGTTCTCTTAGGCTAATGGCTGGGGAGACATCTTGCTGATAGGGAGCTAAGGTGGAAGAGTGGGAAGTAGTTTATTTGATGGATGCATTTTGTAGGTAGTGGCTGTTCCCTTGTGAAGGGCACACGCAGAATGGAAACATAGTTATGAGGTGGGCAGTGTCTGATAATACAGCCCTAGTTCCACTTGGGAAAAGTGAAATCCCAAACAAAAATGCATGACCTGAGCTAGGAAATCCTAAGACTACCTCTGTGTGTTGCTGTAAGAGTGGGTAAAACCAGTTCCTTGTCTCCCCAGTCACCAAGGCACTTGTGATGGCTGGTACCCAAAGTCACCAACCAGCCTCTCTAGGCAGATGTGCCAGATGCTGCTTTTTTTCTCCCAAATGAAAGCACAGCAGTAGGAGAGCAGCTGGAATCAGCTCTTCAGAGGAGCTGTGCTGATCAAAGGAGGCTTGGCTGCATGCTCTGCTGAGATCTGAGCTTGGGCAGCAGCTGAAAGCTGTCCACCGTGGCCTCTTGTAGATGGTTCTCATGTTCCTATGGCTCCAAGCTCCTGCACTGTCTTGGGCCTGCTTCATGCCCTCCAAAATCTGCCCAGGCTCTGACTTTGCTGAAGTGCATTGACTGAAGACAGGAGGACGCTCATCTGCAGGAGCAGAGGTTGACAGCTCTAGTGGTATGGCAGCCCAAAGTGCAGGGGAGTTCACAAATTCCCTGGAATACACACTATTCCTTTATAGTTTATCCCTGTCTACCTTCCAATTTGTGTAGTCAAATGATTCCTACAAAACCTCTGCCCTCTCTGCAGTGTATGTCCCCTGTGCTGCATTTGATGTCAACTGCTTTGAGAATGTGACTCAAACTTTACATGCTGTTGGAATTACTTTCTGTCTGCTTCTAAAGCTGGCACATGGTGACTGTCATCATCCAGTGGCAAGATGCTGAGGGAAAGAAATTAATTAAATTCAAAGCCAACTTAGAGTAGCTTCAGGGAAAGGAAAGTTATCCTTTAATCTCCGTGTGTGGTTGAGATGCTGCTTTCTTTTCAAATGAAGTTCTCATTTAGTAGTCAGGTTTCTGCAGCATTAACCATTAGTCCTGTCACTTCTTCAGGGCTGAGTCTGGCTGCTTTATCATGCACCAGGTTCTGCTCTTATCACAGACCAGCTTTCCTACGTGAGGCTGAAGCAATATCCACCAACACCTCTTTTTATCTGAGCTTTGAAGCATAGCATATAATTTTTCTGTCCTGCCTGAGCTCCAGCTTCTAGGCAACACAAGGGGGGCTGAGGACCTGGCTTCAAACTCAAGGCTTTGGTTTCTTTAAAACATGCCATCACCCCTCATCCAATCGCAGCAGGCCCTGCTAAAGAGTCTCTGCCGTCTTTCTTATAGGCCCCTTTTAAGAACTGAAAGGCTGCAATAAGATCTCCCTGGAGCCTTCTCCAGGTTGAATAAGCCCAGCTCTCTCAGCCTGTCTCCATAGCAGAGCTGCTTCAGCCCTCTGATAATTTTTGTGTCTCTCTTCTGGACAGGTTCATGTCTTTCCTGTACTGAGGACTCCAGGAGGAGCATTTGCCTCTCCCCTGCCCTCTGATGGGTGCAACACATGTGGGTCAGGTTGGTTAAACCTGCAGACAGCATTTTCACCCTGCTTTTCCTTTTCAAGACACCTATGTCAAGTGGCATTAAACTTTCTCCTGTGTTTCTGTCTCAGCATCCAGGCAGCTTCACTGAGGTGTTAGCAATGGAAAGCTTGACTCAAACCTTGCCAGAAGATTCCTTTCAGTAGTTCTCAGGACACACAAAATCCCAAGCTCTGTGTATCTGGGCATACTCTGTGCTATGGATTGATGGACACTGGCTGTGCCCTGATGTCCCCTCCCCTTGAGGAGGGCTCCAGCTGGTTTTGCTCTGTCTTCCTTGTGCCAAGGTTTATTTTCCATACGGATGCATGGTTTGGGTGGGGGTGTTAGTTGATTTAAGCCTTTTTTTTCCTTCTGTTTGCAGGCGTCTCAGGAGTACAAGCAGCTCGCTTTGAGGAAGCAATGAGCGCAAAGCACTGCGCACTGTCACTGGTGGGAGAGCCCATCATGTACCCGGAGATCAACCGGTTTGTGAGGCTCCTGCACCAGCACAGCATCTCTACTTTCCTGGTTACAAATGCACAGTTCCCAGATGAGATTAGGTGAGAGTTGGACAAAATACCTCCCTACTAAAACATTTGAGTGCAGACTTGTGTTTTAATTCCATTTTATTGCTCATCAATCAGCTCTGTGCTGACAAGGAAAAAGCCCACTCAGCATCTATTTGATTTTAGCCTTTGTATCCCCATGCTCTTTCTCATCTCTTTTTCTACCAGTTTGATTTTTCCTTTCTGTATCTCTTGAAGTGGGATTACTTCTGAAAAGGAAGAGGATATAATATAGTACCTCCTGGACGTGCAGCGAAGAGGAGCGAGTGAGCTGCACATTGGGCTTGGGGACATGGATGATAACTAGTGCAAGTGTTTCTGAGAGCCAGAGCAGGAGACTCAGCTTGTAAATTGCCTTTTTCATTTGTGAGCTTCTCTTGCAGTCTGATCTTTGTTCTAACTCCAGAAGAAGGTTTGGATGGGGCTTGAAGCAACCTGGTCTTTTAGTGGAAGGTGTCCCCTGTGGCAGGGGATTGGAACTGGATGAGCTTTAAGGTCCCTTCCAACCCAAACCAGTCTGTGATTCTGTGAGTGCAGCTTCGTCTGTCTCCAGGCACACACAGGAGGTTTTACAGCACATAAGCATGTATTGAGCAGTTACTGGCTCCAGTCCTCTTCTTCTCTTTCTGTTCTTTATGTCATTGACCAGGTGACTCCTCTCTGTCTGGGGAATCCCCCTTATGGGTGGTGGTCTGAGAGCAATTCATTGCTTTTGAGCTGTGCTGTGCTATTCAGTCAGAACTCACTGCTCAAGTGCAGATGTGGTAAATGCAGTGAATTTGATCTCAGCTAGATTGGAAATGACAACCGATTAAGTAGGAGGAATGCTGGAACATCCATCCTAGTACTATGCAACAGTATTTCCTGCTGAGTATGAAATGTAGCTGTGTTCCAGGAACATCAGTTTGTGCCCTTTCTCCTCTTTCCCCTTTGGCAGAACATGCACAAGGTCACTCCAGTTCGAGCCATAGCATGACCCTGTGGACCACTCCATTTTAGAGCAATGTGGGGCAGAAATCCCTCCCTGGGATCTCTTCCAAGTCCTTAATTTTCTGCAGTACAACAGTGAGCCTGGCTCTTGCCTGTCCTGGGGATTGAGATCCTCAGAGAAGAGGTGACTTTTCTCAGCTCATGGTTTGAAAACACTCATTCTGTCTTCCCTGGAGCCCCTTTTAATTAGGCAAATGCAGCATTAAGTAAAGAAAAGAGTGGTTTGGCCATGTACTTTGAAACTGAATACTTCACTCACTCCTAGAACACTTGACAGTTTTTGAGGCTGTGGCTTTGGGCTGCAAGGCCAGGCAAGCTTCTTTGCAAAACCAGTTGGTTTTATTCATTAAAACCTAAAATGTTGTGTTTGTTCTGGACTATTTCATGCTTCTAAATACAGGCAGAATGTGTTCAGAGAGGTTGTCTGAGTGTCCGTGTTAAGTGGATTTTCCTGGATGCTTGGTCTCATTCTGGACAATTTGCTGTCCCTTTGTCACTGTGGGGAGGGCAGAGGGTGGTGTATTTCTAGGTGTCACGGTTGGCAGCTGAGCAATAGTTTCTAATTTCTTCTTGTCTAAAGAGCCAAATGAAGCTGGGACCGTGGCTTGTTCATTAACAGACTTCCCAAATCACGCTTGCAAAATGTCCTGAAAGTGTGGAGAGCTGAAGAGATACGTGGTACAATGCGGATGCATCATTCCATGGAAGATGCCATGAAGGGTGGATGTATGTTACGTTCGCTGGCTTGATCAGATTTGTCTGTGACAAGGGAGCTTGTTTTAGGTTGTTCCTTTTAATGTCCTTCATGATCTGTTTGCCAATGATCTGCAGTGGTGCTGCTTCTCCTTTATACCCTTGGAGTTTACAGAAGGGATTAGGCTCTACCCAGGCTCTTCACACCCTCAGAGGAGGTTTAATCTTTTTAGAAGGTTCTGCTGTTGGGCTCACAGATGCTGTGACCAGAAAGACTGGACTGCAGGATTTCTATAAGAGCCTTGGAAGTGGAAGGAGAACATGCTGGGGAATTGTGGTTGGTTTTATTTTCTAAAGAGCTTTGATTTCCCTTCCAAAAAGTACTTGACTCATGGCAGCTGCAGGCCAGGTGAGTTCAGCGTGTCCAGCAGTAGAAAGCGGCCGAGTGACGGTTGCTTTTCTCTGAGATGGGATTATTTCTCCATTAGCCAGGGCAAATAGAACGTGGGGAAGGGGCTGAGCTTTATGGTTTGTAACCATGGGGAGAAGCAGAGCCTTTCAGTGCCTTGAGTAACCCCTGGCAGCCTGCCTTGAAAAGCCTTAGGGAAGCTTAGGAAGAGTCATAAATTGCCATGGGACTCTTAGCTTCCATGTCTGTCTCACTGAGACTGTGCTCTGATGGAAGCAAGTACTTCTATTTACTGATTTGGCAGAAGGTGACATGTTACCTGCTGAGATGAGCAGACAAGAGAGACTGTTTCATTTGAATACTGAGATTTTCTGCCTTCTGAGAGGACAGTGGGGGACCATTTTCTGCCAAATCCGCGTTAGTAGACCTGGGAGGCTCCATGTAATTGTGGGACACTTTCTTCTGCAAATGCTGAGTAGCTTTGCTAAGGTGCCTGCGTGCAAGTGCTGGCTGATCTTGTCAAGCAACACCTCAGGACAAACTCTGAGCTTACTGAAATGAGGTACAGACTTTGTAAGTTCTCTGTGTGAGTAGAGGAGGCTGTGGAAAGACAGGGAGCTAAATATTGAAGGCAAACATACTGAAACCATCTTTTGGGAACTTACTTTTGCCCATCATTTCTTCTGTCTCTCTTGACCCTGGATAGATATGCTTCATTCATTGCTGTGTGTTGTCAGAAATCCCCTTGCAAAGAATTGAAGGTGAAAGTGTTGGCAAGCCTGTCCGTACAGCTAAAAATACTCTGGTCAAGGTGAAGGGAAGGGGAAAGAGAAACTCCAGTAGAAGGTGTCTCTTCTCCTCAAAGTAACTGCGCTTTGAAGGGTCCTGGAAACACTGATAGCACAAGAGCCCATTAATAGTTGCTCCAATTGGTTTACGCTGCTCAGCTGCATATTTCATCATCACAGATAGGGGACAGCAAGAAGCTGCCGTGTGTGAGGCTTTTGTCTAATGTTATGCATGATTCTGGTACCCAGAAATTATCTTGAACTGCTTCCTGGCAGAAGCATCTTCCTGTTTTCCTCCATAGAACGTTGCTTGGTGTTCCCATGAGATGTTAAACAGTGCTCACTAGGGCGGTGATAAACGAAAGGAGGTAAAAGCTGGTGCTTGTTGAGCAATGCAGCTCCTGCTTCAGAATAAGTGGGCAAGTGCTGATGGGCAGGTGTTGGGAAAGTGATGCTAATGTACCTGGAAACAAAACACAAGTCCCATATTTTCCCTCTGCCTGACAAACAATCCAGATGTATTCAGTTGTCCTGAGACGGAGACAAGCTGGCACTGCTGGTAAGAATTATGGAGAGGTTTGATCTCTGCACATCTAACAGATAAAAATGGACAGAGATTTTACAAGCACAAGTTGTACTTTGCTGGGCTTGCCTTTGTGGTGGTTGGGAAGTGCTGGTCCTGCACAGCTCCCCTGCTTGCCTGTGCGTCTCCTGGGGCTTCATGCTTGGTGCTGCAGGGATGGGTGGTTAAAGATAGGTTCTGCTGCAGAATGTTCATAATAGAGACAGACAAGTGGGAGAAAAGAAGAGGAGAGGACACACTCTTAGGTGAGAAAAGAATAAGGATGTCCTTCTTGGACATCTTCCTGCCACCCAAAAGCAGGTTGATTCTTGTTAGGAATAGAAATGGAAGGACCTAGGCAAAGAGCTAGGGTTCAAATCTCTTGCCCTAGTGAAGTAGTTAAAATGATAATGTATTTCAGGGTTTTAACTGAAGTTCTACCCAGAGCTCTTGAGCCTTTATTAAAGGAGTGAATCTAATACTGAATTGTTCCCAGTGTGATTTGGCAGCATCATGTGGCACACTGGTGATGAGTTGCTGCAGCATTTTCAAAGGAAGTTCAGGAATAAAAGATAAAATTTTGTGTGCTATTTCTTTCTGCAGTCAGCAGCAAGAAACCTCCTCTTTGTCCACTACTGTTCGGATCAAATTTTATACTTCCTGTTGTGGTTCTAACAGTTCTTCCCTGTGAGGGTGCTGAGGCGCTTGCACAGGGTGCCCAGAGAAAGGGTATGGCTGCCCCTTCCCTGGCACCTTCCACTGGAGCAGCTTGCTCCAAGCCCCTGTGTCCAGCCTGGCCTTGAGCACTGCCAGGGATGGGGCAGCCACAGCTTCTCTGGGCATCCTGTGCCAGCGCCTCAGCACCCTCCCAGGGAAGAGCTTCTGCCTAAGAGCTCATCTCAGTCTCCCCTCTGGCAGGTTCAAGCCATTCCCCTGGCTTTATGATGGTCATGGGAGAGCCTTTTCTCAGCGATGTTGTGTCTGATCTGCTGAAAGAGTTGGTGGGTAGGGGCACACAATGGTCTGTCCCTTCCTGTTCATCCTGTCTGAAAGTTACCAGTACCAGACGGTGCACTTGGAGGAAATAAAACATCTCTATAGCAACTAATAGTTAGATTTTATGTGTGGGGAAGCAAATGAAAGCGAGAAACTTCCTGGTTGTTTTCCTGTTAAGTTGAAGCTGCTGTTGTCACAGACAAGTGCTTAGATATATAGAAGGTAAGTCCTTGCATGGCAAAAGGCAACTCAGCTCACACACGCTGAGTAGCAGCTTTCTTGGCAGAACAAGTGAGGTGGCTCCTGGTTTGGGTTTGCTTTGGTTTAGCCCCTGGGTGCTTGGAATGAATGAATGGTTATTTTTTGGTGGTGTTAATGTCATTTTCCCTCTATTTCAGCAACAGCGCACCGTTTACAGACTGACACTGGTGAAAGCGTGGAATGTGGACGAACTCAAAGCCTATGCTGACCTGATATCCCTTGGTAAACCAGACTTCATCGAGGTCAAGGTGAGCGTCGTGGAGCCATTTTATGGTTTTTCCATCAGTATTTTGCTCTTTTTCCTCTTTCCTCCCCTTTTCCTCCCCCTAGTCTTAAACTGATATGAGTAAATGCAGCTCTGCCAAGGATTTCAGTGATGCACATGAAACCTCATGAAAACCCACCCTACAATGGATCGTTCTGATCCATTTTCTGTCTTTGAATGCAAGTCAGTATCCACAAGAAGTGGGAACTACAGGGCATGAGAACTGCATTAAGCTTGGAAGGCTTTTAGATATGACCAAGGGAAGCTGTAGAAAATGAAGAGCCTGTGGAGACTGGTTGGATGTGAAGTCCCAGTGTTGCTGTGCTGTGGTCATGAAGTTCCATGGCTCCAAGTGTTTGCTTGCAGAAGAAGGACTGGCAGTATAGACTGTGCTTTGCAGATGGGGAAACTGAGGCAGGGTAGGAATGGCTGAGGCAAAGCAGGTCACTGGTGGAAAATCCATCTCCTCTCTTCCAGTCTGTCCTTCTACTCCTGCCACCTCCCTCAGTGTTATTGCTCTTTACCAGGGCATAAGGGGAAGAGGATAAGTGTTTTCACCATGTCAGTTTCTTTCTCAACATCTACATGGCTCCCTTTGAAGAGCTGGAATGAAAGGTGCATCCAGTATTTCCGAGTGAAGCTTTTACAGAAGGAGTTCCTTTGACTTCTAGTCACTGAAGATTTATAGTTCTCCATGTGGTGCATCTGGGGAGCTGGTGTTAAATACTGGAGTGAGCTGCATCACTGCCATTTCCATTCTTGCTTCTTAGATTTAACTGACATGAATGAACCCATGTCCTTCGTTAAATCAACTTGAAAGCAGTTATTAAAGACAACCAACAAGCCCGAATCCAGTCCAGTGAGGAGCAAATGTGCATGAGAGCTTGTGTATATAGTTTGGACAATGCTGATGCTTGAATCATGAGCATTTTTATTGCAGAGAGTGCTATCTATCAACATGTCATTTGAGGCTTTTTCTATTTGTCTTGGGCCAGGGCTGCCCCAGTTTCTGAACAGAGGCTCTGTCACCCAGGAGCTTGGCCAACATTTAGTTCTTCTGTTATTTCACATGAGTCTCAACTGAACAAATTTATCATTTATGGACTAGGAGTTAAGGAAATTCTCTTGCTTGGTAATGAAGTTGGGAAGCGTCCTTGGTGTTGTTGCTGCAGGGAAGTTGGTGGAAGAGCTTAGGGTATGCGATGGAAGGGTTTCCGTTTTTAATACCTTGATGTCTTAATAACTGTCTTTGTGCATTACTGACAAATACAACATGACCACCCTAATCAACTGCCCCCATTTTAACTGGTACCAGCACCGTTAATTAACTCAAGCTTTCAGAAGGTGGAGCAGTTGAAAGCTGCTGTGCTTTCATTTGGTGGGCTGCTAAGCTGATTTTCATTGACCTGTGCTTGTGAATGAATCAGCCATCTGAGCACTCAGTTATTGCATTTGCTCGGTGCTTTCTTTGCTTGTAAATGGTATCTTTGAAGTTTGCCAAAAGAATGAGTCACCTTGTAGCTTCCTAAGAATTTCCCCCTCTGTAGTTGTACATTTTTCATGCTGCTGAAAATATAATCTATATAATGAACGCAGGGAAAACACTGCTGTATGGAGCCATGTCTCTGGAGCTGAACTTTGGAGGTACATATCCTATTCTTTGCATGGCTGGCTGCTCTAATAAAAGAATGTTTAAAATCCTTTTCAGACTTCTAGAGGCAGGCTAAAACAGTAATGTCCATCTCTGTTTAATGCACCCCGACTTGTCTGAGACTGTGCACAGTCAACCTGTTTCCGTGCTGGATCTGAGTTAGAGTGCATGGCTCTAATATCCTTTGCTTGGGCAGATGAATAGAGGAGATGTCTCATAAATTTACTAGCAAGAAACTAATTGCTTCCAAAACATGCATAGTTTTTAATTAGCATGAGCCTCTTTTGTTTCTTATTCATGGTTTACCTTGCACTGATTTTAAGTGTTCGTAAAGGATCCGTCTCTGTTTATTGCTTGACATGACATGTGCAACTTCAGTGGAGGTAAATTAGATCTTGGGAATGCAGCATTAGCTGGGACCACGTGCCATAAACATTGCCTGGATGCAAATGCCATTTGAAAACAAGTAGAAGTGTTCTTCGCAGATAAAAACCATAATCATGGAATCACAGAGTGGTTTGGGTTGGACGGGACCTTAAAGCTCATCCAGCTCCAACCCCTGCCATGGGCAGGGACCTCTTCCACTGGAGCAGCTTGCTCCAAGCCCCTGTGTCCAACCTGCCCTTGAGCACTGCCAGGGATGGGGCAGCCCCAGCTCTCTGGGCACCCTGTGCCAGTGCCTCACCACCCTCCCAGGGAAGAGCTTCTGCCTAAGAGCTCAGCTCAGTCTCCCCTCTGGCAGGTTCAAGCCTTTCCCCTTGGCCTGTCCCTACAGGCCCTTGTCCCAAGCCCTTCTCCAGGTTCCCTGCAGCCCCTTTAGGCACTGGAGCTGCTCTAAGGTCTCCCCTTCAGGGGCCTTCTCTTCTCCAGGTTGAGCAAGACCAATAATCATACATAAAGTTATGTCTGCTCTGTTTTAATTGCTGGTGCTTAATGGGTTTTGTAACTGGAATAAAATAGTGCATCCAAAGAGTGAAGGTGGTAAAACCTCCTGGAGAGGTACAGAGTAGGTGGACTTTTATCTAGAAGACAAGCTCTTTCTTGTCAGTTTGCTCTTTCGGGTACTGGTGGGTTTGTGACCTTTGTTCTGATAGCACAGGTTGAATTAGTTGAACAAGCCTTCAGTGGATTTTATCTGGAGAGAAAGAAATTAGCAGAAATACATCTCAGCAAGCCACATACCACTGAACTAATTTGTGAGAATTTTACTAACTGAATTAAAGATGAAGCAAGGCTGTAGTGAACTTGAGGTCATGCCTAAGACCAAATCAGTACTTCAGGAGGTTGAAGTATTCAAATCTCCAAATCAAGAGCAGCTGATCTCAGAATGATGGGCTGAAGTTGAGAGGAGTGCGGTGTAGGAGAACTTGAGGGGTTGCATCCACTGACCAGGGATCACTGCAGGGCATGGAGGTGGTTGATGCTACTGACCAAGAAGACCTCAGCTTCTCTTGCAAGTAAATGACTGAAATCATCACTGCTCACCTCTTGGCTTCATGTACAGCATGGCAGGAACACTTTTCCTGCTCCAACTGGCTCTCCTTTGGTCCATTTGCTGTATCAGTTGCTTGGGAAGGGGCCTGAAGCAAAAACCCAGTATCTCTGCTGACTTAATGCAGTTCAGTCTGAGATGAAAGTGTCTTTTGAGAAATGCCACTACTAAATAGTGACTAGTTCTGAGTGTGCTTCCAGGAAGCCATCAGAAAAGCTGTTTCCCTGAAGCCTCATGTTCCTGCCTGTTCATACTAGTGATCCGCAGATCTTGGCTGACCAGTGTGCGATGGGAAGCTTCTCCCTGTGCTTTATCCAAGGGATGCTTGTGGTGCTCATCCAATCCACCTGTGTGTGCTGGGTACTTCTCACCCCATGGACTAGCTGTCTTTAGGTACGGATAGAACATGCCAGCTCTGCCAACCCAGGGGAAATGATGAGCACTGGGGGCTTTGGGGCACATTGAGCAATGGTGCCTTTCATTGGGTGTCCACAATCAGTGCAAATCAATCATATAACAAACCCTCTCAATGTTCCCTGTGGTCGTTGGTGATTCCTGCAGCTATCAGTGTTTCACAGGCTCTTTGTGGAGTGGTGGGGTTGTAGAAATTCCTCAGCTGTTCTGGTGGCCTTTGACCAAAACGACCCAAGGTGCTTTTTAATGTCATCAAGTCAGTTCTATTCAGCACTAAAGAATAAGAGATTCTCTAGAGCACCATCCTATGCCTGGATTTCCAGCCTCCCTGTGCGTGTCCAGGAGGTGCAGGCACCCATGGACTTTTTTTCCAAGCAGTTCTCAGTATTGATGGAATTAATTTAAGCAAAAGATGGTAAGACTGAAGTGAGCTGGAGGGAGTTTTTCAAAGTGCCTTTTTGGGTGTTTGCTCATATACTCAGCCCTGAAAAATAATCTGTGTGTTTACTGACTGTGTTTGCACTGTCTCTACTGTGCCAGTATTTTCTTTGTACCTGGGCCATGGCCCTCGATAGCCAGGGGTGTTATTGAGCAGTTTGGATGAGTGCCCCCAGTCTCTATTTATTTCTGTTTTAACAAGGGTCTGCAATGCTGAACTCTGAGCAGTCACCGTAGCATCACCTTATGTGAGACCTGGGGCAGGGAGCAGAGAGGAGCACGCTCAATATCATCCTTAAAATGTTGCTACCCCCACGCAGGCATTTGGTGAGCAGCCTGCAGACCCCCATGTGAACAGAGCTGCTGATGCCAAGGCAGAGAATTAAAGACTACTCTTGGAGACTTTGCCCCGTTCCTGCCAGTGCTCAGGGGTCCAACCTGGCCTTGAACACTGCCAGGGATGGGGCAGCCACAGCTTCTCTGGGCACCCTGTGCCAGTGCCTCACCACCCTCATAGTGAAGATGCATCATAGTGACTTGTTGCATTGGTTGTTCATGAGACTTTCTTCCAGGCATCTCATGTTTTAAAATCAAGGGATCTTCTTGAAGATCCTTTGGTAGCTCAGGAGCACGAGCATCCTCCGTTTGAATACATTCCAATGCATTATCCTGCTTTTGCAGGATAAAGACTGACCTGTGTTTTGCTGCTGGGGAAGACTGGGCACACATGGTTTGGTGATGTGTCACTCAGGGGGAGACCAAGTTTTGATGCCATCTCCAAATTTCTACCTTTCCATAGATACAGAGTGAAGGGGGGACAAGCCAGGTTGTCCTCAGGGTTTGTTGCTGCTGATGTGGCTGCACTGCCCTGAGCTTGTGAAAGGTCAAGCTGATGACGACGGTGTCCATGTTTCTTCTCAGGGTGTGACTTACTGCGGTAAAAGCTCAGCCAGCAATCTCACCATCTCCAATGTCCCCTGGCACGAGGAGGTGGTGCACTTCGTCCAGGAGCTCGCCAGCCTTATCCCCGACTATGAAATTGCCTGTGAGCATGAGCACTCGAACTGTCTCCTCATCGCTCACAAAAAGGTGAGGCTGTGCCAGGGTGTGATGCCAGGCACCGTGCATCTCCTTGGAAATGCTGGACAAGTGCCTTGTTCTAACACACTTATCTCTAGAGTTAGCTTGGTGCTATTCTGGGGGGGGAAGCATACTGTATATATTTCAGAAAAAGCTGAAGATGCACCATGTTGCTGCTGGTCATAACAGCTCAGTGCTACCACAGCAATGCAGGCAGGAGGCATGTAACAGGTCCAGGAGAAGCTCAGTACAGTATAGAATCACAGAATGGTGTGGGTTGGAAGGAACCTTAAAGCTCATCTAGTTCCAACCCCCTGGCATGGACAGGGACAGCTTCCACTGGAGCAGCTTGCTCCAAGCTGCTTCCAACCTGCCCTTGAGCACTGCCAGGGATGGGGCAGCCCCAGCTTCTCTGGGCACCCTGTGCCAGCGCCTCAGCGCCCTCCCAGGGAAGAGCTTCTGCCTAAGAGCTCATCTCAGTCTCCCCTCTGGCAGGTTCAAGCCATTCCCCCTTGGCCTGTCCCTACAGGCCCTTGTCCCAAGCCCCTCTCCAGGTTTCCTGCAGCCCCTTTAGGCACTGGAGCTGCTCTAAGGTCTCCCCTTCAGGAGCCTTCTCTTCTCCAGGCTGGCCCAGCCGAGCTCTCTCAGCCTGGCTCCAGAGCAGAGCTGCTCCAGCCCTCGCAGCATTATCGTTGGTGCCATGCTCTCTGAGCAGGGGCTTCAGTTGACTTGAAAGGGTTGCTTCATCCAGGGGTACCTGGGCATCATCTCAAGCTTACACATTTCCTTCAGGGCTCTTCCCCAGACCAGAGTCTTTCAGGTATAAGTGACAGCTGGCAAGGGCAGAGAGACTTGGGAAGGCTTTGTGATGCACTGTGAAAGTGGGGCTGTAGTGGTGGGACTGTGAAGGGTTCAGGAAAGCACCCAACAGTCAGCCCTTCATGGAGATTATCTGCTGGTAGACAGTACTAAATGACTAAAGCTGTAAGAAAAACAGCCCCCCTGTATCTGTGTGTTTTCAAACCCTGTGGATGAATGTAGCTGAGAAACAGTAAGTTCTGGGTGGTTTTCACCTGAATTTTTGTTTTTTTCCCATCAAAGCAGTTACCCTGCAGTAGCTTCTGGATGGCTTCACTCTGGGCATTGTAGTGGCTTAAAAATTAAAAACTACTGCATCTGGTAAACCAGTTTAACATTCACCCAGCTTGTCTTAGCACACGTGTGGTGTTTGGTATGTCTCATTGCTCCCTGGCTCAGGACTGTGCTTCTTTTCCTTCCAGTTCAAGATCAATGGCGAGTGGTGCACATGGATCGACTACGACCGCTTCCAGGAGCTGGTGCGAGCACAGGAGCAAAGCGGCGGCTCCCAGACTTTCACAGCAGCTGATTATGCAGCCAGAACTCCTCACTGGGCACTCTTTGGGTCCAGAGAGAGGGGATTCGATCCCTTGGATGTGAGATACCAGCGGAAGAACAAAGCAAGGGACATCTCTGGGTGCTGAGGCTGGGGCTCAGTGAATCTAGGGCTGGCTGGCTGCTGAGGTTTGGTCTCCCTTTCTAGGCTAATACTGATTCTGAACCTATTCACTTCGAGTTTTCTGATGTTTGACATGGAGAAGGAGAGTCAAGTCCTTATTTAAGTCTTCCTTCCTGTTTTTAGGGGTTCTTGGATGAAAGTATGTATGTTGCTTTCTATCTTGAGCTGCATCACAAATGGTGTATGCTGGCAGTTTGTCTTAACTGGCAGCACAGTGAGGGAGGCAGTGGCTGTGGTCTCCACAGCAGAGGGCGCTTGGAGTTGGATGTGAAGTGGGAATGTTCGTTTGACTTCTGTGCCCTGGTGGAAGGACAGCCCAGCATGTGCTGGCACCAGCTTGGCTGCGAAACATTCCACATCTATAAGGATAAGTGCCAAGGGGACTTCAGCTCCACAAGTTGGTTGGATATGTGCAGGTGAGACTGCAGTTGGATTTGGATCTGAAAGCCTGAGCCCTGCTAAAGTATTATTGTGCAGACAGTAACAGATTTATGTATTTCAAACACTGATAACAATTCCTATAAGGACCTTGTCCCATCCCCCTGGGAATGCTGTAAGTAACAGCACCCCTGTTAATGTCATCTGCAGCTTCTGGTATCTCTCCAAATATCTTCCAGCTTCATGGGCTTGACAATGAATATTTTCCAAGTAGTTTTATCCCACTCCCCAGCAGCCCTAAGCAGTGAATATAACTCTTCAAATCCCTGTTAGGTTCCAGCTGTGTGCTGCTCATGGTGAGGATGTGCTGTGGGGAGCCAGTGAGCTTGGCCATTGGCTTCCTTTGCGCCACCCGGGCAGGTCAACAGTGTTGCTGCTGGTTTGGGTAAGCTGATGTAAATGAAAACTGAATCCAGCTGCAGAAACAGGCACAGGTTGGGGGAACAAACTGTGGTCATGCTCAAGTGTTCTTGTTTTCCTGTTGAGCTCCAGGAGCAGAGATCAGAGGTGTTCCCCGTGCTCCCGCCTTAACGGTGAGGTCCATAAGCCTGCAATTCCTAGTGCTTGTGTTACTGTAGGTGGTGAGTGTTCCTGAGATTGTGATTCTATTTGTTTTTCTTTAAGAACCTAATTTCTTAATGTGCAAAAAGTGTTTCTAAAGAAGAAAGAAAATAAAATAATTTTCCTTTGAGCACCTTTGGTGTGTCACTGCATTTGTTTCTTTAAACAGATAAGCTACAAACATCATGGAGAAACAGCAGTGAGAAAGCAAGGCCACAGAAATTGAAGTTATTATCCAGCCTTTCTGCTTCAAGACTCACTTGGAAGAATGGGGGATGGAGGCGGTGATCTCCAGTCCTGGTGAGGTCTCCAAGCCTGGGAACACTTGTAACATTGCAGGGTAGTGACATGCAGCTCTATGCTTGACCCCATGTAGTGGCCAAGCAGAGTCCTTGGAGACATGGGGGCACAAAACTCACTGTCCTGTAGGAGCTGTCTCCAGTGCTGAGCTGCCTCCTGTCCACGTGCCCTGGGGAGCACATGGTTCCTAGAAGGAAACCATGAATGCCAGGGAAGGACTTTGAATGCCAGAGGGGGACTCTTCATCTTCAGGGACTGTTGCAGTAGAACAAGGGGTAATGGGTTTAAACTTAAACAGGGGAAGTTCAGGTTAGATAAAAGGAAGAAGCTCTTCCCTGTGAGGGTGCTGAGGTGCTGGCACAGGGTGCCCAGAGAAGCTGTGGCTGCCCCATCCCTGGCAGTGTTCAAGGCCAGGTTGGACACAGGGGCTTGGAGCAAGCTGCTCCAGTGGAAGGGGTCCTTGTCCGTGGCAGGGGTTGGACTGGAGGAGCTTTAAGGTGCCTCCCAGGGAAGAGCTTCTGCCTAAGAGCTCATCTCAGTCTCCCCTCTGGCAGGTTCAAGCTATTCCCCTTGGCCTGTCCCTACAGGCCCTTGTCCAAAGCCCTTCTCGCACAAGAAGGTTTCTTGTACCCCCTTTATGTATTGGTAGACTGTTATGAAGTCTCCCCTGAGCCATCTCCAGGCTGACCCAGCCCAGCTCTCTCGGCTTGTCTCCATAGCCCCTTGGAGCATCTCATGGCCTCCTCTGGACTTGGTGCTTTAACATTTTTCATTAATAAATACATAAGTCTAATGGGTTTTCCAGCTATTGTTTTCAGCCATGAAGGCTGAAACATTTTTGGCTGATGTCTCCCAGAGATGAAAGGAAATATGATGGATGAAATTTCATTCAGAGATGAAAGATGGAATGAAATGCAAGAAATAAGGTTCTTCAAATGAGGGGCTTTGCCCCACTTTACTCACATATGCAGCCGAAATTAAGCTGAAGGAGTCAGGTGAAAGTTTTCTTATGGCTCAAGAAAAACAAATTAAAAAGGATGTGAAGAGAACCATCTGAACCTCACCCTGATGAAGCAGTGTTTGGTCCTATCATTCCCCTTGCACTGGTGGTGCTGAGGGCCATGTTGCTGGAGCAGGAGCTACCTTCTCCCTGGACACAGGCATGCCAATAATTTAGTTAAAATGGTGAAATTGCAGGATATGAGCGGGCCTGCAGAGCCCCAGTTTTTAAGGGACTTGGACCATGGCAAATTCCTGCGTCTTCACCCAGGACCTGGTGAACAGGCAGGCTGCAGGCACGGGGAGAGGTGCAGCAGGATGCAGAGATCTCATCCGTGGCAGGACAGCTGAGCGGGTGAAGCAGAAATAGTTTCATAGCAATACAAATGGGATTTCTAGTTTGGATGGGGAGTAGAGGAAGCAAAGATCCCCCTGCCCGTGGTTCCTGAGCTGGTCGTCATGTTCCTGCTGATCGTAGAATCCCAGTTCAGCTGAGAAGCCTATGGAAATGCTCAGCTAGCTGGGAGAAGCGCAATTCTTCAGGCACTTGCTCCTTCACTCTGGAAAAGCCTGGACAACCGCTGGAGCTGCCAGCATCCGTGACTTGTAGCTACTTGTCCTGCTCCTCTGCCCTCCTCAGCATCAAAGAGCAGGTCAGGCAGGCTGGCTGGGCTGGGGCACCAGGTTCAGATGCACGGCTCTGTGTGCACAGCAGAGGTTTCTTCTCCTCCAGTGTCATTTCTAAACCCAGAAACAGCAGCTTAAACACACACGTGCCAAAAAGAGACCTGGGGAGCATTCAGGCTGTGATAAACACATAAATGTATTGGCTTTTGCAAATCATAGGTGTGGTTATGTGGATATAACTGTACCAGTTCACAGTAACAGAAACAAAGCTCGCTAAAGACACAAGATCAGACAAGTTAAAAAGGGACAGAACTCTTGAGCAAAACGAAGTCACATAGCAAAAGAATTTGTAAAGGTAAAAGAAGGGGGGGGGGGCTTAATATAAGAAAAGCTAGCACCTGGAAAACAAAGTAGTTTTTAGCTTAACTTAGATTGTAGAAAGAGACCAATGTTTATGTTGTAAGTCTGTGGGATATAGTGGCTGCACTAAACAGGAGTTAATTGCTTCACACTAGTCTTCTAAAGTATCTTTAGCTTTAAAGAACAATGTTTGTGTTGTAAGTCTGTGGTGAGATAACAGGATTTAGTGGCCCCACTAAACAGGAATGAGTTATTTCACACCATCCTTCTACTTATCAGTGAGTTTAGAGACAGAGCCTCCCAAACATCTGCTGACTTGGGATACTCCTTGTCTGCCCGTCCTGCAATACATTTTGCAGGAAGGTCACACTTTTTAAATCTTTGCTAGTTACCAGAGTAATTACAGCCATAGCTCGTTGTGTGATTACTGGGGGGTCCAACTGTGCCAAAGGTGAAAAGCACACTGCGAGGAAGACTGCTTACTTCATCTTGAAGACCCCTACTCACAAGAGGAAGACTGTTTACTTCATCCTCAAGACTCCTGCCCACAATCACCGCAGAGCAGTGTGCAGATGCCAAGAGGAGGGGACTTACGATAATAAATTCTTGGAGCTGGTTATAATATCCCCCGCCTATATGCGGGAATTGAGACAAAGGGGCACAAAATCACAAAATGGGATATAGAAACCTTTATAAGTAGTTTTAAGTAATGTTAAGTTTGATGGCTTTGTAACAGTAGCAATGGAAAATTACTGAGGTGCTTGATACATAGAGAAAAAAAACAGAGTACAGCTAGAGAACATACTGAGAATTCTCACAAGATAAATAGTTATAGTTGGCCTAGTTTTAAGAAAAACAGTCTAGAAGAACAGGACACAGGGATAAGGGGTATCTGGGAACTGCAGGTGTCCAGGATGGGCTACAGTTGAACTAACAGATAAGTAGGAGGATGGGAGGATTATTATGTCTCTGGTGCTAACGAACCAATTAAACTGGTATGAGCATCTACTGCGCGTGCTTCAAAGGCTGCCAGAAGTGATGAAGATCGTTGGAAGAAGTAAACGACCCTCAGAGACCAGCACCACAATTCTGTACGCATGCGGGGAGCTCTCTGGAAAATGATGTAATCCATATGTAGCCTCATGAATATGTATGTATGCCCAGGGGCTATATAAGGATGGCTTGTATAGCAATACGGGGACACACGTTAGGAGGAGTTATCCCCCGTGTCTCCCGGCACCGCAATAAAGAATACCTGCTTGTCAGCTTGAAAACTTTGTTGGCAAGTTTGTTCCTGGAGTTTTCTCCGAATCAATCTGGCGACCCAGATGGGGCCCTCTCTGCTCGGCTGCAGGACCCGCTGAGGAGAGGGCTCCCTAGGGCCCTCGGGAATTTTTCCCGGAGGGACCCCTCGACTCATTCGGATCGCTGCGGGAGCAGACAAGGACCATCTCATAGAAGGTATTCTTTTTTTGTATAGTCTGTAAGGTGCAGGGGGCACCTCGGTTTGGTAAATTGGTTTGGTAAATTGGCTTGGTAAGCGTACGCATGGTTTGGAAGCCTTCCATAAATCGAGACAAGAAATCTCGTAGGTAAAGGTGTATACCCGGCTGCTAGCGTCCGTTCGGTATACACCCACAGGAAGCAGGGGGCTTCTTGTGGTTTGGGTCCTGCAGGACACAGGGGGTGTCTTGCAGAAAAGGTTTTGGATTTTACTGGTATACACCCAAAGGAAGCAGGGGGCTTCTTGTGGTTTGGGTCCTGCAAGTTGCAGGGGGTGTCTTGCAGAAAAAGTTTTTGGATTTTACTGGTATTTGATTTATTTTGTGGCTTGTTATATTAAGGATTTTGGTCTTGTGATTTTGGTATCAGTGACAGACTGTTATAAATAAGCAGGGGGCATCTTGTGATTTAGGTCCTACAAGACGCAGGGGGGGTGTCTTGTGGAAATGGTTTTGGGTCCAGTGTGCTATCAACAGCCCATAACGGATTTGATTCAGTGATGCCGTCAGCGTGGGTCCCTGAATAGCCCTCCGATGCAGTGGGCTGTTCAGTATGGTTCCCACAGTGGGACGCAGACAGGCTGGTCGGACACAAGGGTCTCATCCTTCCTGGGACACTGACAGGCTGGTCAACTATAAAGGGTTCAAGGAAACCCCCCTATTAATGTTACAATATGGTCTGAGCTATAAGGGTTAGGAAGTATTGCTTTTGATTCTACTGGTATTCGCCTTATTTTGTGGCTTGTTACAGTAATGATTTTGGTCTTGTGATTCTGGTACTGGTGACAGGATGTTATAACTGTGTTATGAACTGTTGTTTGTTTGGTTGAATTTAAGTCTCTGTCTTTGTCTCAAGTGTTGTAACTGTGTGGAGTATGTCTGGGGATCCCATCTGTGTGTGTGTGTGAATGTGAGATTGATAATGGAAAATCAGCAGAGTGAAGAGATCTTGAAAAAGAATCCTTTTGGGTGCATTCTGGCACACTGGAAAAAACTTGGAGGGTCTCCTGGGGGCTTGGTAAATAAGAAAATATTGGTAAAATATTGTAACCAATGGTGGCCTTTGTATACTTTGGAAGATCAGGAAAAATGGCCTAAAAATGGAACTCTGAACTATAATACAGTGTTACAATTAATGTTTTAAGGGGGTAAGGAAAATGGGATGAAGTAATGTATGCAGATATGTTTTTCACTTTAAGAAATCACAGAGTGACAGACTGAATGCAAAATTAATATAGCTCTGCCAGCTTCCTTAATTTTGGCTTTGGAAAAGGACAGGGAAAAACTGAAAGTTAAGCTGAAGATGCTCAGCCTCTGATATTGGGGAAAGATGTTTAAAGTTAAA